ATGAGACAGCACCCAACGAAGTCCTCGGCTGCAGATCTTGCATAACAATCTCGTCCTCAATCTTCATCACCTCTTGCTTAATGAAATGTATTTCTTCAATTACTTTCTCTAAGGCCTGATTGAAGGTCGTGGAGTTCTCAACTGCATAAATTGCTGATTTTGAAAGAAGTTCATCAACAAGGTGCAATTCTATGATATCTGCAGCTCTGTATGCTACATCTCTGATTTGACTCTCCAAACGTTCTACTTTGTCGTCACATTTATGTAAAGAATTTTCGAGAAAATTCGGTAAAAAAGTAGCTTCTTGAAGAAGTGCTTCAATTTGCTGTTTATCAGGAATCAGATGGTGGTGTAGGTTCTGCTCAATAGTGTTAGCTAGAGAAATAAGGGCAGCAAAAGCCATTTCTGATATCTTCTTACAATGCTGAAAGACGGAAAATGTAAGAAATGAGAGAGTTGGTGTGTTCAGCAAAATTAGACCCGGAAAATATACTAGCATTGATTCCCCAAAACAAAAATCAACTTGCGATTTATTTAATTGAATATGAGGCTGGCAAAAAAGAATTTTTCAAGAATATTTGTTGTATGACAAAGATTTTTATAAAACAATTTAGCAGATTTTGATAAAAGTTGATGAGACATGAGTTTGAAAAGTTGATAAAATTTGTGGATCACATAAAATGTGTAATTAAAATTAAAGTTTGATAAGTAGAAAAATTCATAAAATTTATCTAAGTTTTATAAAAGTTATTTTTCATAGTTTTATAAATTTGTCGTCTTTGACCGTTTATCAATTAAACTTTGAAAGTTTTTGATAAAACAATTTGTTTATCGAAGGATACAGGATTCGTCCAGATTATAAGCATTCAACATTATTTTGGTAAAATAAAGAATTATGACAGTGACAAGGATATGTAATTTGAGAGTTGGGGCATTAAGCACAATTAGACCAACAAATTATATAAGCATTGTTACGGCAACTAATTAGCAACTTGCAATTTCTTAATTTAGTAACAGGCGGGAAAAGTAGCTAGACTTCAAAGAAGTCCTCTATATAAATGTGATGAAAAGTGAATTTGATGTTTAGCAATCGGCCTCCTTCTATATATCAATTTTTATTTTTATTGTTAGAATTTGGGTGTGACTTGAATTTCTTGTTGAAGTAATTGAAGAATTCTAATTGAAGTGCACATCAAGAAGAATTCAGTTTGGAATGCTATGTCAAGTTGAAATTTCATTTTGAAAGC